GCCAGCCAGACCAGTGCCCGGGTGGGACACCAACTTGGTAAGTTGTTGCCTGGGTGTTTGCCTAGTTGTCACGAGGTGCCACGTGTCGCAATTTCACTGGAAGGCCAAATCTACCCTCATCAGTTCCCATTATGAGTCTCTGCTAGCTCTTCATGCAAAGAAATATGAAGAACCCAAATAAGACAGGGGACTAGAGGGCTCGTGACTGTGCTGCAACTGGGTTTATGTGAAATATGTTCCTATTATGAGTCTCTGTTATCTTTGCTCTGCTTCATGCAAAGAAATATGAAAGAACTGGAAGGCTCTGCTTCATGCAAAGAAATATGAGTCTCTGCCCTACAACTGCTCTGCTCTGCTTCACTTCATGCAAAGAAATAGGACAGAGGGGAATGTGTGCACATACATGAAAAACGGTGATGAAAATCACCTTACCAAACAGCAGTGTTGCTCACTACCTATGTGGTAGAAACACTACCAAACAAAAATAAGGCGTTTTTCAACAAAAAACGAGTCTTGGAAGCATGGGTGTTTTTTGTTAAAAATCGGTCCCAAAAAGCGCCCACGCTTCCAAACACCATGATAGTTAGTCCTAGATTGATCCTAGATAGAATTTATTCTTTCATCAACTGAAATACAATTTCTTTAGACCTTATTGAATTGATCATTTTCGCCAATGTTAGGCAATTCTGCAGTTGGATGTGCATGGCATGTCTGTGCAGTATCCTCACATGGTGCACCAAATTGCAATTGCAATGCATGTATTGCTTCATGAATCAACTCCCAAGTATCTTGTCTATTTCATTTTCTGCTAAAATTTTCACCACTCCTTTTGCATCATCAGTTGCCTTGGCCCTACTATTTGTTATGTCAATGGGGTAGTCAACCCAGCCTGCATAGCAATTTGATGCTTTTGGATTAGATTTGGGCCTGGCCCAGGTTCGTATTGGTCAATAAATCCACTCTAATATTAAACACAAATCTAACCCGAAGACCAAAATTCAAGCCCAATTCATATAAAATTCAGATTTAATGGATTTGGACTCGGGTTAGACCCGCCCAAATTGCATCCCAACGTTTTACCTACTCCTTCCTCTTCCAAACTGATGCAACCCGGCCCCAAGGAGCATGTCATAGTCCACATTGCCTTCCTTTCCTGCTATGAACTCCACACATACTACCCATCGTCTTCTTCCTTGTGAGCCAGCATGAGCCCCATAATTACATCTCCAATTGTACACCTGGCACACTTGTGAAAACCATTTGTCAACTATAATTCGATCTACCTAGCTTGTCAGTATTAACACCGGTCTTTTCTAACCCAAAGCTAGTTGGAACAAAATTTACTTATTTCTCATGGGTTATGATGCCCCAGGCAGTTAGGCCATAGGTTCCATGCCTAAAATTGTCTTGCCCAAATAGAAGGCAAGCTCTATGCCCATGTCAGAATGGGAGGGTGTCTATATAGACTTTCTAAAGAAATGTACATCCTTTGAAGAGAACACATGCAGAAAGCTGTATTGATATCTGAGTGGTGACAGCAAAGACTTGGGTTCCATTTCCACCATGAGCAGTTTTCATCTGATAGTATTGCTCTTACTTGTGCAATTATCGTGTTGTTATGGACTTACAAGAGTATCGTTGATTTGAATATACTTGTAGTTGATTGTTTTTGTTATTATATTCTTTCCTGATTCTGTTTTGCTAAGCTAGTTGATTTCATGAATACTACCCGCAAGATTATCATTCTGCTTATTGAATCAGCATAAATAACTTACAGCTTGCACTTGGTTTATCATTCTGCTTGGTATGATGATGACATTTAGATGAATTATTGAACACTAGATAATTGTCATAGGATTTTTATTAAGTATGCACATTAAAATGCTGAATCATTAGAAAAATTCAAGTACAAAAAATGCTGAAATTAGGTAGGCAAATTTTTTTTTTTAAAGAAAAAGGTCTATACCAGCGGTCAGTATCCGCCGGCTTAGCTATGAGCAAGATAGAAGTTTGGGCCAGATAAGACCTAAGGCGGCGGTCAATGTCTGCCAGCTAGCTATTAACAAAACCAAAGGCGGCGGTCTACACTGTCGCTATAAAAAGGGTGGGACGTTTTACAATCACTGAGCCGGCGGTCATATGGCACCTAAGGTGGTGATTTGGACCGCCAGCTTTACCAGGCTAAGCCGGCAGTCGTGGAAAAACCGCCACTTTTGATAATTTTGAACCACCTCGGGCCAAGAAGCAAAGGCGGCGGTCTTTCCAACCTAAGCTGGTGGTCTTGATCTAAGGCAACGCCAGCTTAGGCGGCGAGCATATGACCCCAATGCCGACAGTTTTGAGACCGCTCGCTTAGTCCATTTTTCTTGTAGTATACAATAATGTTATCCCAAGTGTCCCAACATAAGTCCTTGCCCTTACTTACCCAACTCACAAATACTATTGATCCATATTCACTCCTTGTCATTATTAGCAGGTCTTGGAACCCAACTATAAGTTGTTCTCAAACCTGCAGCCAGTTGTTCAATCTCTGTCATTATGTGTCTATAATTCTTTCTAGGATCCCAAGCTACTATTCTTTGTTAACCAACCCACATTAGTATGAGAATCAGTTCCACCACTAGTTCTCCAAACTCTAGAAATCTAGCCAACTATGAATTCTTTATAATTGGAGGTTTCATGGTTTTGAAACTTTGTTGTCATAAATATGGTAGTAAAGATGATTCATTTGCAGGTATGTACAAGACAGGACGAGTTCAATGTCTGTATTCCGAACTTCTATGAGGCAATTATATGTCCTTTAGTTTATACTATATTGATTTAGCAAATTGTGAATGCCATGTGTGACAAAGGAGTAGTAACTTGTCCTTATGGTAGAGTTCTATGACTCACTCTTGGATAAA